AAATAAATGAATGGATGAATGAATGAATAAATGAAGAAATGGATAAATGAATGAATGAATGAATAAAAAAATAAGCAAACAAATAAGTAATAGAACTCGTTTAGACAAAAACCACAAAAAGATAATAATAATAATAACAATAACAATATAACCAACTCATTTTCCGACGCATGGAAGAGACTAGATGCTCCGATTTTATTATTATTAATATTATTATTTATAATAATAAAAACCATAATTATAACGATAGACGATTCCTTCCCGTAAAAAAATTTCAGAAAAAAAAAATTTGTTTCAAGTATAAATTTACAATAGCAAACATTTACTATACATACATTGTACATACATACATACACACATACATACACACATACATACACACACACAAACATACATCCATACATACATACGTACATACACACATAGATACACACAAACATACATCCATATATACAAACATACATACATACATACATTCACACATTCAAACACACATACAAACAAACATACAAACATACACATATACATACTATACGTTCCTTGTAAGTACATAGACAAGCGTGCAATCTCATGTTTGCGAAATTTCAAAACAAAGTGATAGAAAAAAAATGTAGTATAAAAATGCATGTATAAAATACAATAGAACTTAAAAACAAGAAATTCAGTGATAACATCCTAACGACATTGATTCATTGAATGATGGACTGATTGATTTAGTGAATGAGTGAAAGAATGAATGAAGGAATGAATGAATGTGTGAGTGAACGAGTGAATGAAAGAACGAAGAGTAATCAACATCCGATTTGGTAGATTATTTTTGCAAACTGGAGGAATGAAGTTAAAATGTTAACACACGTATTGCAAGGTGTCTGCGTGTATGACTGTGTATGTGTGTAAATGAGTGTGTGTTTGTGTGCGTGTTTGTAAATGTTATTTTGTATTTTTTTTTGTATTATTATTCAAAGACAAAAAGAACATAAAAGACACAAAAAATGTTCACACTCACTTACACACACCCACACGCACACAGACAAGCATAAAAGAAGCCAGCAATTTATATCAATAAGATTAATTTCAATTTCACTCAAACACACACGTAAAGACACATACACAAACAATCCCACAAAAAAACACACAAACGTACAACCAGCTAATAATGATGAAACATGAATATACCCCAAATAAAAAAGAAATGTACACACCATTCCAGTTGATAGCGTTAAATCTCATCGTATTTTAAATAACAAAAATGAATGGAACACTGGTTTATAATAATAATGATAAAAATAATAATTATTATTATTATCATTTATTATGATTGTTAATTGAGGAGTTTTTGAACTTGCCTTGTAGATACATACAATGGTTTTATCGACAACAATGACAATGCAGTAGCCTAGTTGATTGTGTGATTGACTGAATGATTGATTGATTGATTGGGTGATTGATTGATTGATCATTGGATTTCACGCCAATTGGTTGGCTCATCAATCAAAAGACATCAATAGTTAACTGACTGAATGGATTGTTTTTTTTAATGTTTTTTATAAGATTCTTTGTGGATAGCAGACCCAACGTAATTAGAAGTGGGCGCAATATAATTACTTTTTGTATTTTTGACGTCAGCTAGGAAATCTGAAGATGATTTGTCGGCTACATTTCTAGTGAAGCCACGACCAACTTTGCTGCTGCTGCTGTATCCGTAGTAAGGATTGCCGTCCATGTGGAATTTTGTGGCCCATGGTCCAGTAGCATTTGTCGTAGTTGTTAGTTTTTGTTGCGGTTGTTGTTGAGGATGTGTGGTCAAGTTGTTGTTGTTCGTTGCAGTTGTTGCTGTGACGCTGCTTCTTGCGCTGCTACTGCTGCTAGTTCGTTGTTTGTTGACGTGCGACGTCGAGCGATAGTTGACGTTCAGCGTCTGGATATTTGAGTTGTTGTTCATAGTCGTCGTTATTGTAGCTGGTTTTGTGTTGCTGCTACTGCTATCTCTCTTCAGCTCAATGTTTAGTTTGCTCAAGGAGTGCTCGCTGTTGGTGGGGCGATTGCAGTTGGTTGCTGCAACATCGTTGCAGGTGGTGGCCAGCTTGTTCCTGTTGCAGGCTTCGACACGATTCTGCTGCCTGTCCACAATGCTCGAGTTCATTTTGTTGTTGTTGCTGTTGACGATGTTTCTGACTATTCCTTCGTCAACGTTGTCGTCATCGTCCTCTTCATCGTCATCGTCATAATCATCGAGCGTGAGGTCATCGTCATTCTCGTCATCATCCTCCTCAGATGCGTACATGGCATGTCGATTGCTGTCGATCGGCTGGAAACTTACACAATTTTGTGATTGCTGTTTGTTGTATTGTTGTTGCAGTTGTTGCATCTGATGAAAATGTGGGTTGGGGTACAAGTTGTTCAACTCATGCAACTTCTTGTTGTTACTGATGGTGCTGCTTTCCAAAGTGTTTGTGGCTCTTCTGCTAATGTCCTTAGCCATGTACCTCTTATCGATGTTATGGTTGTTGTTGTCGTTGTTCACCAGCCGGCCACTGACAGCTGACTTGTAAGCAGGTGGCGACTGCAGAACATTGTAACTCGGTTTCGTCAATGAGGTCTCCTCCTTAATGTGACTGCCACTTTCGAAAGATTTGTTGAAAGCAGCTGCCCCGACGGTTGAACTGATCATGTTGGCCCTGGGTAGACCCGTAGATGTTGAAGAGATGGACTGTTGACTGGTGGCGCAGGAAGGTTTCAAATGTTGAGTTGCCGAGTAGTTGTGGTGGTTGGTCGGCAGAGAGAACTGCGTGGCGTGGTATGATTGGGTCGTATGTTTGGGGTTCAGAGGTCCGAGGTGCGTCGAGTTCTTCAGTAGCGGCAGCTGAATGGTCGATGTTGACGACGACGACGACGAAGGAAATTTGGAATACGGGTACTGTTGATTCATATAATGGTATTGTTGTTGTTGCTGCTGCTGTTGCATGCGCTGCTGCTGCTGTCGTTGGGATGAATTGATCTTCAGTGTAAGATTCATCTCCTCCTGCTTCTGCCTGACAAAACATTCTCGACATAGGTAGCTGGTTTCGGCCGATGCATCGACACCCTCGCAACCTGCATTGATGCACTGAATCAATGCATCGTGGCAGCCATTCATCATCAGTGCATGATAGGGGTGTGAGTTGTTTTGAAGGGGGGGCATGTTGCCTGCCGATGTCTGATGGGGATTCAAGTGACACACCATGTTGGAGCAGTTGTTCTTTCGGGAAGAAAATATTTTATGATGATTAATTTTTAGACGAATGCCAGCCATTACTCCACGCAAGAAACTCGTACGTTACAACTAATAACATTTAAAGCTATGAAATAAAAAAAATTTATAATGTAGAAAACAGAATGAGAATGAGCTGAACGAAGAAAAAACATCTACATACACTAGCAAATTGATAAAGAAACAAATGATCATTATAACGGGTGGAAATATTTAGATGAAATGATGCAACACTCGTTAATTCTTCCTTCCATCCATCCCCTCACCTACCTGAATACTATCTCTCCTGTTATCCTCCATCTTAAATCTCTCCCTGGCAACCAGTAAATACCTGCAAATATTGGAGAAGTGGTGCAATAGTCAATAGTGGTGCAATAGTCATTCACTGTCTATTCATTCATTCATTCATTCATTCATTTATCCATCTGTCTGTTTAACTGTGTATCTATCTAGCCATCTATCTACGTCTATCTATGTATCTATGTATCTATGTGTCGGTCTATCTATCTGTGTCTGTCTATCCAGATCACCATGTTACCTGTTCAATATACGATCTTGAACGTCATCTCTCTTATGATAAAGTCGAGCGCAGAGGATTTTATCTGAACACTTAAGTTCCGTGAGTGAAGGTGATTTTGTGAAAGTTGCTGATGACGTCGTCGCTGTCGTTGCAGCTGCTGTAACTGTAGTTGTCGTTGTTGACGTCATTGCTGCTGCCACTGCTGCTGCTACTGTAGATGTTGCTGGTGTATTTGTTGATGTTGTTGTCGACGATGTGATGACGTTCGTTTGGTTTTGCTGTTTCTGGGGACTTGATCTGATGTTTGAGTGATGTTTACGTGATCAATTAATTTTAAGTTTCAATATGTATCTCGCTACTTATGAAAGGAGAAATATTTTAAAAGCGTTGATAAGAAAACAAAAACAAGAAACAAGATACAGACGGTTGTTTATCGATGACTTCTCTGACGTCCCCATCAGCTCTTGCAAGCTTGTTGCTGTTTGAGATGCTGCTGCTGTTGCTGATGCTGTGTGATGTTTTCTGGAGAGAACTTGAAGATGGAGATTTCTTGTGAGACGATTTGTCGGAATCATCTGGAGCGTCGTCAGCTGCACAGCTACTACTCCTCAGAATGTCCTTATTAATTTTCTCGCCGTCCAGGGAATCAAATTTCTTTTTCTCGTGATGTTCTTCAATCTCGTCAAGGTCTTGCTGAATGCCAGATGCACAAAACCCCATTCTGAATGTTCGACTCAGTCGTTTCTTGAACGAGGAGAACTTCTTGTTACGACTTATTGACGAGTTGGATCTCTTAGTAGCACCGTTATTTTGGTTTTCTTCCTTCGAGTAGTTGCTCTTTGCGCTGTCAGAAGTTTTGCTTTGGCAGTTGTTCACGTCGTCGTTGCTGCTTTCGGAGGAGCCAGCCCGGGAACTGTTGTTGCCTCCGTTGCTGACCGATGAATTCATGGCCACTCCACTGTCGTTCGATCGATTGAGAGATGATAACTTTGCGGCAGTCGATGTCGTCGATGTTGCCAATGGTGTTGTGATGTTGGTGCCTGTCTTCGCGGTGTCCGGTGAGTTCGTGTTGTTGGCATTCGCATCAACTGCAGCTGATTCACTCAGCTCGAACTCGCCATTGTAGGGCACACTGACGAACTTGATGTCCAGATAGGAGGGTAATGTTTTGAGAAGTTTTTGTTTGTTGTCGTCGAGCAGGCAACTATTGAAGTTGTCGTCCAGGAAACTCCACTGATAGTCGGGTCCTGGGTCGTACGCAAAGTGAACCGGGAGAAGTTCAAAATCGGGGTCAACGAGTGGCACGGCATCTGAAATGAAAGTGATAAACAACAACTTGCGACATAATCAACAAAATTATTTCTAAAAAAATTATCTTAAAAGCCGACTGAGACGGGAAGAATGTTGAACAAACCAGCTAAGCAGACAATTTCTGTGGTGTTCTCCATGGGCACAAGGGCCGAGAAATGTGCAGCATCATATGTGAGAAGCAGTGGAGACCTGTGGCATTCTTCAGGAGGCAGTTCGAGGGGGAGGTAGATGCCCCCAAACGAGATGGGGGCCAGCGGTTCCCCGTTAAGGTTCTTCAAGATGGTGTCAGCAATGATGATGATCGTTCGTTTGAGCACATGTGCAAGTACAAACACGTGCAACTCTTCAAGACTTTCGTATAGAATTTCATCTGACTCTTCAGAGTCCTCTCCAGGCATTTGCCTGAAAACATTTCATCACATTTTAAAAATATGAATCTTTGAAACAAAAAAATAACCTAATTTGAACAACCAAAGAGAAAAAACGTATTATTTAGTTTAATCAACTGAAAGTTAGTGAAACCAGAAAAAAATGCAAACAAGATTTAAATAACCTCATAAGATTATAATTGACATTATCAACGTTGTTACTATTATTATTATTAAAAAAGAGAGATTGATCATTCAAGTGAGGTTGCTGGTTAGGTGGTAGGGAGGGGACTCGAGGTTGGGTCGACGCCAGCTTACCCAGGTTCAACCACTCAGCCATCCACTCATCCTCCGTGTATACGAGCTCTGACTGTATAATTTGTGAATGTTCATGTGATGCGTACGTTTGTGCGCGTACGTGTGTGTGTGCGTGTGTGTGAGGGGAGTGAATTGTGACCTGCTTGTTGATGATGGTCTGGTGCCAGCGCCATCTTCTGAAGAAAGCGTCCTTCAGTGAGGACTGACACATCATCTTGCTCAGGGCCTGCCTCAGTACAAGGCGATTGTCATGCACTCCAAACAGGGCTAAATGAAAAAATGAATGAATGAATGAAGGAAGGAATGAATGAGAGAAGATAAAGTTTAATAAAGAAATGAATGAGAAAAGATAAAGGAATGGCGACAGGTCGCCAAAATAAATGAATGAAGGATGGGAAAAATGACGGAACAAATGAACAAATAGATGAACAAACAAACATACGAAAAAACAAAAAAATGAACGAACCAAATTGAAAAACAAGTGAATGAATAGGTGTATGAATAGCTAAATAAAACATATGAAAATAAATTAATGGAAGTAAAAATTAAGAATGGTGAAACAAACTTTTGAAAGAAAATTTCTTTAAAAGTTGAGAATTTTCAGACAAAAAGAACAACATCTCATAAATTCATCAGAGTAATTTGAGATAGTGAAAAAACATGAAAATAGAAATAAACATACAGTATATTTAACAGTTTTTCTTCACTTTCTTATTTTATACAAATGATATACATACAATGGTACATGTGATGTATACATTGAGATACAATTGATACATTCATGTATGGTATAAATGGTGTATATATAAATTATGCATATACAGTGTATGTTTAGTGTATTAATATTGTATTGTATTGTTGTATTGTATAAGTCATGCATGTACATATGCAAATGTATGCTAGAATAAACAAACACATTCACTGATGGTATGATATACAATTTGATACGAATGAAAAAATGCTATTATTATCATTATTCATATATTAAACCTCTTTCATCAAACAATATCTTTAAAAAATATAATTTAAAAGTGGAATTAATCTTCTAAGATAAAAAAAACTATATAGCGTGAATGATTAAATGTGAACTTAACTCATAAAAATAGAAATTAATGAGATATAGATGATTAAGATTAGGAGAAAATGGCATAAATAAATTTAATCAAATACTATTAATAAAAAAAAAATTTTTCCATTAAATATATAAATGAGAAATGTCATAAATGTATAATATAAAAATTATTTAATTGAATTAAATTATTAAAAATTATTAAAAAATTAATGAGGAATGTTCGTAAAAGAAAAAGAGTGAGACCTAGTGATGCAGCATGTAGCAGGCAGTTGCCATCACCTATGGTGACAAGTGGAAACAGTCTTCTGCAAACGCCCAGATCCACCCACCAATTTAATCGACCTTTAAGTTAAAATCATTAATTTCATTATTATTATTATTATTAATAATAAAATTAAAAACTATGAAGTCATATAACATAATTAAAAATGCACGGTGTTTGAATTGTAAATAGACCTGCAAGTTCTAGCGAAAACAACGTTGAAGTTTCGATTAAATCTTTCTTCAAAAAATCTCGAAAATCAGGTGGCTGGGCGTTAATATCTGGCAGAATTAGTGTGTACTCAGCAGACTCTACGACAAAGTTACCACTAAAATTTTTATTCTGTTCTGCTGGGTCATTGTTGTTGTTATTATTCGACCCAGAAGTTGTTGCAAGAGATGAATTTCTCATCTCCACATTGTTCTCGCACCCCAGCTGAGATATACCCCGTTTACCTTTCCTGCCTAAACTGAGTGTGTTATAGGGAGAGGAGTTAGTAGTAGTTTTAGTGGCCGAATCCTTGTTATTTGTCGTTGTTGCTGAATTAATTTCTGTGCTATTGTTGTTTGAGGCAATATCATTTTTTAGTTTGTTGGCGATAATATGATTTTGCACTTGCTGTTGTGGTAGCAGTTGTTGCACCTCTGGCTGTAGAGCACCATTGACCGAAGTTACATGTTTTTCACTAACCAACATTTTTATGACATCTTTCTCTTTTGTGATGTACTGTATTTTTATGTGTATTTTTTGTCTATCTGATTTTGAATCCTTTTAACTTTAAAGTTTAAAACAATTAATTTATTTATCATCTATTAACCAAATAATTAAAAAAGGAAACTTAATCTGAATTACTTAATAATTAATTAAATTAAAAATTAAATCATTTATTTATCCATTTTTAATTTATTAATTTCATTATTTTACGTCTAATTCAAGAACCAATGGCCAATGATTGACTGAAAAAAAAGCAAATTTTTAGACTCCTTGCTGAATAAAATATCTACCGTAACTGAGCGATTAGGGAGAGAAAATCTTAAAGTTTTAGTTTGAATCTACCCAACAAACTTCACCAACCTAATATTTATTTACTTACACTTACAGATTATTTCGTACATTGGACGTAGGTAAAGTTGGAGCAGTTAAGCGCATTAACTATACAACTTATTAAATATTACTTTCCTTTAAAACTCCTTCAAAGTTAGTTTTTTATTGAAAAAATTTATAATTAAACTAAAAATTGGATTAATATTTTTAAAATAATTTAAACTCTACATGTTTTAATTTAACGCAAAAAGTTAATTTACGCGAAAAAATGATCTAAACTAGCTGAGTGCGGTGATGTATTGAAGAAGATGCGAATGTTAAGAAACATTTTTATAGCGAGGAGATTGTTGAGTTCAATGAGCACAAAAATTGTAAACGATCCGGTAATTGTCATCTTGGGGTCCACAGGAGTCGGCAAGTCTCAGTTGGCTGTGGAAGTTGCCAAGGAATTTGATGGTGAAGTCGTCAACGCTGATGCTATGCAGGTTTGTGTGGTTATGTGTGTGTGTGTGTGTGTGTGTGTGTGTGTGTGTGTGTGTGTGTGTGTGTGTGTGTGTGGTTATGTGTATGTGTGTGTGGTTATGTGTATGTGTGTGTGGTTATGTGTATGTTTGTGTGTAGCGTGTGGTGTGTGATTGTTGATGTATGCCCTTGTCCATGTGCAGTGCTTTTTATGTGAATCATGCTTTGCTATTACTTGCTAAACTTGTAGTAATATGCATGTGTGTATGTGTGCTTTATTGTGTGTGATTCTTTTTCATCATTATGTTATACTTATTTTTAAACCAGATTTACAAAGGGTTGGACATAGTGACCAACAAAATCTCAGTCACTGACCAGCTTAGTGTACCTCACCATCTTCTAGATTGCATCTGCCCGTATACATCAAATTACAATGTTCTCAGTTACAAAAATGCTGCTACACAAATTGTTATTTTGTTTTTCTTTTGTTTTCTTTCAATCAATCAATTAATAAATCTATCAAAAATTTATTTTAACAAAATATCAATTTAAAAACTTACAACAATAACTTCGTACAAGTCCTACATTTCACTCTTTTCTAATTTAAATTCAGATCAGTGATGTGCACGCTAGAAATAAAGTTCCGGTAATCGTTGGGGGTACTAATTATTACATTGAAGCTCTACTCTGGGACTTTGTTCTACCGCAGGTGACAAAAAAATCTTCACCGACAGAAAAAGTCCTTGATAATTTGGTCGATGACTATGAAAGGTTAAAACAAATTGATTTGGAGAGCGCATTACAAATTCACCCAAATGATACCAGGAAGGTTAAAAGGTCATATAACATCATGAATTGATGTCATGGTGATGTCATAATGGTGATGTCATAATGATGATGTTGATGATGAGAGTGGTGATAATGTTGAAACTGATATTGAAGATAGTGACGCTCATTGCTGTGTTTTCAATGGCCAAATCTAAATACTTTTATTAAAACTTTCAAAACAACTTTCTCTATAATAAAATCTTCATTTTATTTATTGCACAGAGCCCTTGAAGTTTTCGAGGACACTGGAGAAACTAAGTCATCTTTGCTAAAAAAACAGAAATTACAACATTTTATACAGCAAAATCAGCAACAGCAGCCACAGGAAAAGATGAGTTATGATAAGATGCTAAGTGGTCCTCTGAAGTATAAAAACATCTGCATGATTTGGCTACAATGTGACCAGAATGGTTGGTACAAATTTTTCACATTATTTTTTTACTTCGTTTTTCATTCAGTTTTTAGTTTAATTTCTTAAAAAGTGATTTTATTATTTTCAAATTTATTTACTTTAGATTTAAAATTCCATTCTCCACATTAGTTTTAGATGAAAGAATTAATAAAAGAGTGGATTCCATGTTGAAGATGGGTCTTATCAAGGAGTTATTGGCTTTCCATAAAAAGTATCTTAGCGCTAACAAGTTAGCTACTTAGTTAACATTTTATTATTACTCTAACTACAAAAATTTTCATATTTAACGTTAAAATACGTAAAAAAAAATTTAAATTTGGGCGGCATGATGGTCTAATGGTTAAGGTCGCTCGCCTGGTGCTGTTTTACAGTAACCGGGTTCGATTATGACAAAAAGATTCCCGCTTATCACATGCTTCGTGCTTGATGCGTCGTTTAGCACTTATTCATATACGATGTTTGTGCTCTTTGTTGAATCCTCTGAACTTTGGATGAGTGTAATTGACCTTTTAACCTTTAACCTTTTTCATAGGTCACCAGATTATAAGAGGGGTTTATTCCAGAGTATTGGTCTGAAAGAGTTCCACGACTACCTGGTTAAAGTGAATAGTGACATGTTTAAAAGTGGAGAAGATCATAAATCCTTGCAAACAGCTCTTGAAAAGGGTTGTTACTATGTATAATATTACTACTCAATCAGTATTTATATTAGTTTTTTTTTCATTTTAATCGTAGTAGAGTTAGTACTGATGTTAATTGCGTAAGTAGTTTTGGTATTTGTTGCTATTGTAGTGTTGATTTATCATCAGGCTTCTTATCATTATTTGTAGTAGTAGAAGTAGTAGAATCAATAGTAGTGGTTGTAGTAGTAGCATCAACAGCCGTAACAGCAGTAGTAGTAGCCTTAGCAGTATCAACTCTGGTAATAATGTTGATATTGCAGTCTTTCAAATTTTTATATTAAATATGTCGTTAAGATAGATAAAAATAAATAAATTGAAATGATAAATATATATATTAATGATTAAATTAGCGGAAATTAATTCTTAATCAGGGATAGCTGATATGAAACTTGCAACTAGGAGGTATGCCAGGACCCAAATCAAATGGATCAAAAATAGATTCCTCACCAGTTTATAACAAATACTTTTTACATTTATTTCAATTATTTCATGAATAATAATGAAAACGGATTAATACTCTACGTTGTTAACCAGTATTTGAGATGTATTTCTATGTAGTAACTATTTTTTTATCGCACTGCCTTGCGTTTACGTTTCTGTTTTTGTCTAGAAACTCAATGATATCTGTGTTGTTAGCCGTGCAAATGGCTTTTCAGTTTTTATTTTTCTGGAATTTTCACTGAATTTTTTCTGGAACTCATTTTTAAGCATATTCTAGACAGGGGACTCGATAGCGAAATGGAAATGACGTCATCGTCGCCAAGCTCTAGTTCTCCATCAACAACGTCACCGGCCTCTGCAGGTATATTTATGACGTCATCATGACGATGGAAACAACCGACATGAACGCTCACAAATGTTTATACTTGTCAGAACTGATTAGTCATTTTAACAAGTCAATCAATATAAAGAAATATTTTCAAAAGTTGCGCCACTCACACTTTCAAATCTTTGCAATGGTACTAAAACAGATAAAATAAAATAAAATAATAAGATTTATATTATGAATGTAAATAATATGAATAAATAAAAATAATAATCTAAGTAGGAATAGTATTCGTATGATTAATATATATTGAAATAGCATAATTTTTATATGTATGTATGTATAAATAATGTTTGTAACATGGGCAACAAAAAGTATGAAGAGTAATAATATAAATAATAATAATATGAATGATAAAAATTCATTAAAAAATAAATAAAAATAATAAATATTTTTGTAGTACCATTGTTATATGGTCTCCATTCAACGAACGTTGAGCAATGGCACGATGCAGTTAAAAAGCCTGCTTTTCAGATTATTCATAATTTTCTTACGGTGATTTTTTGGCATATTTAAATAATTATTACAATCATTATAAATAATAATACTTATTATTATTATCCTTATCATACCCTTATTGGTCCGAGTGAAATAAAACATCATCAGTGCCCATTAATTTTCTCATTTATTCGCCATCATCTCTATCATCACCATCGTTATCATTACTTATTATTATAATTATAATAATAATTATAATAATTATTATATTTTTTCATAATTAGCACCAGCCCATAACTCAACCCCCGCTGTCGCTGGTTACGAAGTATAACCCTTCTCTATACAACGTATGTGAGGAGTGTAAGAAAATTTTTGTCAAGCTTATCGACTGGAAATGTCAGTTTGTTTATTATTGTTATTATTATATTATTGGTATTGTTATTATTGTAACCTAATTTGTCTTAAAATGGTAATTAGGTCACATGTCAAGTAGGCGCCACAAAAAGACAGTTCAACGCAACAAGCGTTTGAAGAATGAAAATTTAGGGGATAATACAATCAGTGAATCGACTCTATCATCGTCGTCGTCGTCGTCGCGATCGTCTGATGATGAGGTTGATGATGATGTTAAAATGCATTCTGTTTGACTTGGTAGTGTAATGATGTGATGATTGTTTTATAGGTAATTATTGAAGTCATGTTATTTCATGTCATGTTTTGAATGAAGTTTTGAAAAAATGGTAGAATTTTATTTTCATTTTGTTTTTTTTTTAAATTTCGCCATTAAAGTAAAGTTTACGCGTTAAAGTAAAGTTAAATTTACGTCAGTAAAGTAAAGTTTACGCTTTGTTGGAGTTTGTTTCTATTTTGAAAGTACCTTCTAGATGGAATTTTTCGACTAAGAGTTCACATTCAACCACTCAACCGATCAACCAGTCAATCAATTTACAATCAACCAGTCATCGACATCAATCAATCAATCAGACATTCTAAAAAATCATTCCATCTGTTAACTTTACCACTCATTTTTTTGACGATCCATCCATCAAACTCGTTTCCTATTGGACAATGAGGAAACGTTTCTGATTGGTCCTTAGGAACTTCCGCATGTATTTTTAATCTCTCTCTCTCTCTCTCTCTCTCTTTCTTTTTTTCTTTCTCTCTCTGTAAGTTGTTTTTTTTGTTTTTAACTGTTTCAAAAATTTTAAATAATTTTTAACAATTTTTTTTCAAAAAAAATTTCTTTTTTTCTTTATTTTTAGTATTCTTGACGGGCTTTTCATCTCGTTTGATAAGATTAAGTCTTATTTATTTAAAAACTATAGATATTGAAACTGAATTTATGCATCTATGATTAAAACTCGGCGACTTATTCGGATTAAAAAAAGGCAAAAACCCAAAACTACAAGACAATTAGCATGAAGAATGAACTGGATAGACAAAAAATGATTTAAATGAATATAAAATTAATAAAATGAGTCAAAATTAATTTAAATGAACATAAAAACTGATTAAAATTTCTAAAAAAAGCCAAAAAATTTTAATATATCCGGTAATTTTTTATTAAATTCAATTCAAAACTTTTTTTGCAATAACTTCAAAAGAATGTGCGATGTCTTTTTCAGAGTCTCATCATCATTTTCATCATCACCATGATCATCACCATTAGAATGGTCACGCCACCATCACCATCATCATGACTATCATGACCACATCATCATCATGATTACGTCATGACCCTTGTTATATCATCTTTATCACACTTACCATCTTCATAACTGCCACCATTAATCATCGTAATCGTCGTCATCATCGTAGTGGTAGTAACAGTAGCGACATCGTTATCATTCATTCATCGTCGTTATTTAGTAGCAGTAGTAGTAGCAGCAGTAGTGGTAGTAGTAGTAGTAGTAGCAGCAGTAGCCACATGATCATCACCATCGTTATCAACATGCGACAGGCAAAAATAATCTTTTTATACGAGGTGTTCAATCACGGCCATCGCTCATATTTTAAGGATTAAATGCCCAGATCTGACACATTAGTGCCCTAGGGGACTCGGAAATTTGCTGACTGACTCATCGGCATCGTCATTATCATCATCTCTATCATCATCGTCGTCGTCATCACCATCATCTTCATCATCATCTTCATCATCATCATCTTCATTACCCTCTCTTGATTCATGACGAGTTATCATCGTCTCGTCATCAACTCATTATTACCATTCGTCATCATGTAATTCTACTGCGTTATCGTTGCTCGTTGAAATCACCGCACTCATCATCGTCATCATCACAACATAGGTAATCACATTGTGATGAGAACGTCAAAATAATAACATCGTCTTGTCATCATCGGTGACGTCATCGTCGTCGTCTTCATCATCATCACGCAATTTCTTTATCTGCCTCCACTTCTGCTTTCAACTTCTCAACTAGCCAACCATCAATCAAAATTATCATTGTTAGTATATTATGATTCATTCATTCATTCGTTTTTTTCGTTCTTTCTTCTTTAATTCATTCGTTTACTCATCTCTTCAGTTATTCATTCATTTTTTACTCACTTTCATTCATTCATTCACTCATCCATTTTTTCATTCGCTTGTTCTCCCACTCAACTTTTTAGTCGTTCAATTACTTCTCGCTCAATCATTTTTCCATTCAACCGTTCTTTCATTCATTCATTTTTGTATTCCTCCATTCTTTTGTTACATAGTTTTGATTGTTTGATTGTTCTATAGTTCATTCAATCAGTAATTCAATCACTCGTTCATTTATTCATTTATTTGTTCATTACTTCATTCAATCATTTATTTATTTATTTATTCATTATTTAGTTATTCATTCATTTATTTATTCATTCATTTCTTTGTTCATCCAAAAAGTTTATACGCAGCAACACACATAAGATGAGCAGTGAACACCAAACCAATAGTATTTATCTATATGAATAGACACTACGGACGTTGGTTATATATTTCATCTGTCTGTCTGTGTGTGTGTGTGTGTGTGTGTGTAAGCTTGTGTATGTGTGCATCTGTGGGTGTACATGCGTGTGCGTGTGTGTTTGCGCGTTATGCCTTTTTTCACTTTTCTTTCATTCAGTTTCAAAATTTGAAATGTTTCTAATCAGAAATCAAATTGAAAAAAATTGTAAACGTGGTTTTTGACTTGTAATAAAAATTATTTCTACAAAAACTACTACTACTACTACCACTACTACTACTACTACTACTACTACTACTACCACTACTACTACTACTACTACTACTACTACTACTACTACTACTACTACTACTACTACCATTACGACTGCTACTTTTAGTACTATTACTACTACTAGTACTACACTACTGCTGCTGCTACTACTGCTGCTGCTATTGCTGCTTCTGCTACTACTACTACAACTACTACTACTACTACTTGCAGCGAGGCGTTACCTCCAAACGCAATCAGAGTAAATACATGCCAGAAACTGTCACCCTGAACGTCAAAGTAACCATAAAAATAATAATAATAAAAATAAAAATAATAATAATAATATCAAAAAAATAATACTGTTACCGCCAGTTGCAGATCAAAAAATATATAACGGGTGGGGGGCAAGATTTGGAAAAATGCCACCGGGTTGAAAAATTTTTACCAACAACTTGATGACCGGACTGTAAATTTTCGCAGATTGATTTCGAAAGTTTTTCTGTGCTTGTGGTGGGCCAACATTTTGACGTGGGGAGGCAAACTTTTCTTCTGATGGGCTTACAATTCCATTTTTTCTTTCAGAAAGACAACGGCTTCTACCATCTTTCAACACAAATAAAGGAG